TACTCGCGTAAAGTTCTTTATTTTCTTTAACAAGGTAATTTTGACGTAAAAATAATGCTGTTATTTTACTGAGATAATTCATAAAAATAAATTTAAAAGCAAAAAATGAAAAAGGTGCACCAAAGGAAGTTATGTATAATATATAAATTGCTGAAGAAGACGATCCTAAACTTCCTAAAAAGCAAAATATTGACCAAAGCGGTAAATTTAAAACTTTAGCCAAAGTGTATAAATGTTCACGTTTGTTTTTCTTGAAATGCTTAACTGAAGCCCATTCGTGAAAGTATTTCTCTCCGGTAAGCAAACCATACACAACAATAAAGAAGTTTGAAATACTTGAAAAAAAAATAATTCCAGCTGAATAACGGATAGCAATATTGGTTTCAATATTATCTTTATTTGCAATAAGTAATACCATATTTCCAGCTAAAGGACAAAGACAGCAAAATAAGAGAAATGCTTTTTGAAGGTATAATACAACGCTGTTAACAGTTTTGAATAAATGAAGAACTGCATAGTTAACGTACCATAGAGCAGAAACTAAACAAAATGAAGCAACATAAATAAAAAACTCTGAAGCCATGTCACTCAACTTGTAGACAAGGCCATTTTCGTTAACGTCTACTTTTTTAGGAAATTTTTTATCAGTAATATCAAGAATAAGTATACAAGCAACTATGGCAACAGCTGCATCACTCATTATTTCAACTCGCTCTTTTGGAACATTACCCTTACAAAAATGATCCAAAAAAAGATTTTTTTCTGTTAGTTCCAACTTTTTCACTCGTCTCCGAACAAACCAATAAATTTTTCGGATTGTTGGTATGATAATCAACAATGCAATAAAAGCCCAAGACACACCGTAGTGAACTAAAACAAATGCACCAGCAATTATTATTAAAAAAAAACTAACTAATGGTCTAAAAACCATTATAAGAATTAAGTCTTGAAGTTCAGACTTTGCCCAATTTTTTAAATTAACATGGAGTAGATTTGGCGAATGTATGGCATACAAAACTATGACGATATCTATTACTTGAAGTATACCTAAAATAACGCAAGTTGTTAAAAATGAAACTTTCTCGCGAGGATAATGTCCTTGCAAAGCCAAAGAAAAAGGAAGGAAGGAAGTTACTAGCATTTCAAATATTACTAACGTCAGAATAAAGTCATCCACTCGTTTTATTACAATTGCTCGGTTGTTCATGTTTTCCCAAATTAAAAGAACAATTTGAAACCCCACAAAATATTCAATTAATTCGCTGGAAATCGAGGCAAGAAACTGAAGCAGAGATTGTGTATCTTCTTGTAAATCTAAATTTCTTAAAGGAATGACTAGAAATGTGGCACAAGCCGCCATCATAGCATCAAAATAAGCAAGCATTCTTTTTAATGACGTTATGTCTCCTCGATGATAATCCTCTGGCAACGTTTTATCCACATGCTCGTCGTAGTATTTCTCTAAATGTTTGTTATTGTTTTTAATCATAAAACTTTCATTTTGATTCAAAAATTTTTTTTTTGCATAAAGATTCATATTATTTCTGCAATTAAATACTTGTATTATTTAATAAATTAGTACTTATTTTGTTGTATACTAAGTAAACTGATTACACACACACACCCACACACACACACACGCACACAAACATTCATGTATGTATGTGTGTGCGTGAACACACAAATATATTATGTAATTATTTACATATATTATGTATATAAATATAATATAAATAATATATATCTAAATATATATAAAAATTCGTATAAAAATACATATATATATATATATATATATATATATATATATATATATATATATATATATATATATATATATATATATATATATATATATATACATATATATATATATATATATATATATATATATATATATATATATATATATATATATATATATATATATATATATATATATATATATATATATATATATATATATATATATATATATATATACAGTATCGTACAAAACAAGTGCAACCAAAACAAATGCAAAATAATGCTAGTTTATTTTCTTTATATAAAAGTGCTGCATTTTTTCAATTTAGAGAAATAACTATGTAACTGTTTAGAGACAACGTTCTTCAAGTTTTATTCATCACAAAGTTCATTATTTGTACACGAAAATTAATAAATTAATCAAAAGTAATAAAAAAAGTTGGTTTCCTTCTCGATAAAACAAACTCCACAAAATGTTAACCAAGCTGTGTTTCACTATCAGAATTTGGTGGCGAGTCCTTTGTTGTCGATCACAGCCTTACATTTTTGAGGCATAGATTCAATCAGGTGATCAACGAAATTTTGTGGAATCGCTGCCCAGGCCTTTTGGATTTGTTCAAACAGTTGATCCTTATTACGAACACCTTCACGATTAATTCTGTGGTTGACGATTTCTCACAGGTTCTCGATAGGGTTGAGATCCGGAGATTGAGGCGGCCAATCCATACAAATAGGTGTTTGTCTTGAAACCACTGCTTGTTTCGGATCGTTGTCTTGCTCAAAATCCCATTTTATTGGCATACTCCATTCAGCACGAGGTAACACAACACTTTTCAGGATCTTTTTATACATTAAAGGGTCCATTATTCCATCGATTCGATGTATTGGACCTAGACCTTTAGCAGAAAAACACCCCCAGACCATTACATTGCCTCCACCATGCTTCACGGTCTTATGGCAGTAACGTAAATCGAGGCGTTTTCCGGCCGGTCGACGTACACAGCAAATGCCATCGCTCCCAATGATGTTGAACTTCGATTCATCACTGAACAGGACAGTTCGGCATTTCTGCACATTCCAGTCAATATGAGATGTAGCAAACAGGAGTCTTTTCTTCTGGTTCTTTAGTGAAATCAGCGGTTTCTTTGCAGGGCGTCGAGAAAACAATCCGGCTTAAACAGCACGTCGTCTGATTGTTCGGTCCGATACAGGCAGCTCTAATTGCTTTTGTATCTCGACTGATCATATCCAGGGATCCTTCTTGACGGATCTGATGATCATAGAATCCTCTCTAGAAGTGGTGGAACGCGGTCTTCCACCTTTGTTATCTGCTGCCAACTTCCCCGTAGAACAATATTTGGAAGATAGTCCTGATACGGTCCATTTTTTCACGCGATATTTATCACAAATACTTTTTTGTGATGCTAGATGCTTCTTTTTGATGCTTCTGGAAGCTTCTGGATGCATCTGGATGCTGGTAAATGTTTTTGGAAGCTTCTGGATGCGTCTGGATGCTGCTGAATGTTTCTGGATACTTCTAAATGCTTCTGGATGCTTTCAGATGCTTCTTCTGGAAACTTCTAGAAGCTTCTGCATGCTTCTGGAAACTTCTGGAAACTTTTGGAAACTTCTGGATAATTCCTTTAATTATCAAAAAAATTCCGTGACGTTCACACTGACCAGTCTTAAGGAAATGAAACAAACCAAAAAAGTTGCACTTAATTTGTCCGCTGCAAAATGGACTTTGTCAACGAAATTCTACCTGTGTGCTGTCACCTGTCAGCTGATTGCTCATGTCATAGCATGCTATGACTCCAGAATCCTGAACTGTTTGCTGTGGTAGTGTAGTTTGTTTCGTTTTTAAGACATGTAAAATTAGGAACACTTTTAAGCATTGTTCGATGTTGGTTGCAAATGTTTTGTCTAATACTGTATATAATATATATATATATATATATATATATATATATATATATATATATATATATATATATATATATATATATATATATATATATATATATATATATATATATATATATATATATATATATATATATATATATATTTATATATATATATATATATATATATATATATATATATTTATATATATATATATATATATATATATATATATATATATATATATATATATATATACTTTTTTTTACTACTTTTGTTACATTACTTATGAGATTAAATTTTTTTTTTAATTAATAAAAATTAAAAGTAGTAATTTTTTTTATTTAGGCGCCCCAAGAAGTCCTTACAGTCTTATCACAGAGCACCACAGATAAGCATTTAATAGAAAGTTCACGCCTCCTTCCTAACCAATGTCGTAAAACCTGCTCAGAGGTGGGATTTGAACCACGGATTCTATATTTTTAATGTATGTGACACGGCTGCTTAAAAGTAATAACTACTTTTAATTTTCCAAGTTTTAATTGACAGTTTAATTAAAAACAATTTAGTTTAATTAAATGAAGTATTAATTAGATCAAAATGGATTTATAGTTTATTTTAATTATGGTTTCACAATATATTAAAGAATAACTTTGATCTGAAAAACATATTACAGTAAAACAAACAAATGAAAAAAAGTCACTGCTCATATAAAACTAAAATACATAAAAAATATTTGAATGTGAGACTACAATCGGAGGCTATTCTAGAAATAAAATTGGGTGGGGAGGAGGGTTGGGAGGAGAGGGGAAAGGGGAAAATAAAAGAACCATTAAAACCGTTTTTTTTTTAAATCTGCCGACTGATATATGTCGAATGCCAACTTCCTGAAAAAACAAACATCCCCATCCCCTAAAATCCACACGCATTTGAAAAATTTCCCTTACTACAATCACAAAAAAATATCATTCTTAAAGTTAAATTTGAAACATACCTATATAAACATACAAATATTTTTACATATCATATAAACATTTTTGAACAAACCTAATGATGTAAGGGATTTTAAAAACGCTTAAACAGTAAACTTTAAACTCTCAAATTATTCATCTTCATATTTAAAACAAAGTTTATTTCATCCCCATTAATCTAATATTCTCCCCCTTTGGTCTACTATTTATTACATCATTTTGATGTAACACATGCAGCTAATAATTATTTTGCATAATTTATGTATATAATATTTACAACATATAAATGAAAAAAAGTTTTTACATTTTTAATTCCTCAAAGTATTCTAATTTTAAATGTTATAATTTATATAAGCTCCCGTTTCTTTTTGATGTAAGTTACGTCACGTAACTACCAAGATTACAAGATGAAGAAAAGGAATTAGCTTGCAAATCTTTCTCTTTGCTTGTATTTTCTGTTTTATTATCTTTGCTTAAAAAATATGTTGGCAACTTTCTCATGTGGTTCATCAGAATTATTTTTGCAGCAAAAAAAAAACAAGGTGCTGCAGCAAATGTTGCATACAGTATGTAAACTGATGAAGTAGGAGACCCCAAACTTCCTAAAGCGCAAAATAAAGACCAAAAAGGCAAGTTGAATGCTTTAGCAAGAGAATACAGTTGCTGACGTTTGTTTATTTTAAAATTTTTAATTGAAGCCCATTTGTGGAAGTATTTTTCTCCAGTGAGCAGCCCGTACAAAAAAATAAAAAAGTTTGCAATACTTGATAGAAAAATAATCATGGCTGAATAACGGATAGCGATGTTAGACTCATGATTGCGTTTGATTGCAAAGCGCAATACAATGTTTCCAGCTAATGGACAAAGACAACAAAACGAAAGAAATATTTTTTGAAAGATTAACATAAAAACATTAACAGTTTTTATCAAATTTAAAACAGCATGATTGACGTACCATAGAGCAGAAACCAAGCAAAATGAAGCAATATACGTTAAAAATTCAGAAGTCATATAATTTAACTTGTTGCTAAGACCAAGTTTGTTAACATCTTCTCTAGTGGGAAACCCTTCATCCGTTATCTCGAGTATAAGTATACAAGCAACAATGGCAACAGCTGCATCGCTCATAATTTCAACTCGTTCTTTGGGAACATTACCCTTAGAAAAATGCTCTAAAAACATATTTTTTTCAGTTTCTTCAAAGTGATTTATACGTCTACGAACAAACCAATAAAATTTGCGTATTAATGGTACAATGATCAACAGTGCAATAAAAGCCCAAGACACACCATAGTGAATAAGAACGGAAGCACCAGCAATTATAAGCAAAAGCAAGCTTACTAATGGTCTAAAAAGCATTATGAATGTTAATTCACGGAGTTCAAGCTTTGTCCAATTTTTTAAATCAACATGAAGTAGATTTGGTGAATGAATTGCATACAAAACTATAGCAACATCTATTATTTGAAGAATTCCCAACACAACGCACGTTGATAAAAATGAAACTTTCTCATGAGGGTAATGCCCTTGCAAAGCTAACGAAAAAGGAAGAAACGAAGTTACCAATATTTCAAAAATGACGAATGCCAAAACATAATCATCCGCACGTTTTATTACAATTGCTCGAGTGTTCATGTTTTCCCAAATTGAAAGAACAATATGAAATCCAACAAAGTATTCAATAAGGTTGTCGGAAATTAAATGAATGTGATCAGAAAATGAATTGTGGTCTTTATGTTCAATATTTTTTAATGGAATTGCAAGAAATGTTGCACAAGCTGCCATTACAGCATCAAAATAAGCTAGCATTCTATTTAATGACGTTACATCTGCTCTGTGATGATCTTCTGGTAATGTTTCATTTATATGTTCTTCATAGTATTCTTCTAGATGTTTAATCCTTTCCCTTCTATTTATACTTTCGTTCAAATTTTCTTTTGATTTCAATTTCATATTATTACTACAATAAAAATAACTTCTTATAAAATAAATCTTAAAAAAAAAAATAACTTCTTACATTTAAAGAAACTTATTTTTGGTAATTTTTGAGTTATAAGAAATTATTTAGAATAAATTTCGTATAAATATAATATTTATATTCTATTTTATTTTTAACCGATTTAATATTTTTATATTTTGCTTTGATATTAACACGAAACCATTTTGAAATTCATCCACAATCTTTATACATTTCTTTCACATTTTTACAAAAATACTTACACATAGGTAGATATCATAAAAGCAAACTTTTAACATTTATCTAAGACATAAGTTAACATACCTTAGACATAAGCTAACATTAAAATTTTTTTTTTTTTTGAATTTCACAGATAATTTTATTGTTAATTTATTTTACAAAAATAAAAAGATACATTTAAAAACTAACATTTGATATATTATTTTAAATGAGAACAGTTAGTTAAATAAGATAAATAATTAGATAAATAGATATAGGTATATCAATAATAAATTACTTATGTATACCAGTATGTAAGTTTTGATTCATAATTGGCCACTGCAAAATGTTTGATTAGTAAACAGCTTGCCACTTGCTCTATAAATCCTTAGATAGGCAGCGTGAGCGTAACGCAACCCAAATGGTTCTTTACGCGTTATGTAGTAAATATATAAGTATGTATGTACAATATATATATATATATATATATATATATATATATATATATATATATATATATATATATATATATATATATATATATATATATATATATATAGAACAAAATTGTTTAATACATTTTCAAATTATGCTTTTTCAAAATAACAACTTTAACAAAAAAAATTTGTTAAAAAGTAAAAATTAAAAATTATTTTTAGCAAAAAAATTTATTGAGATGACTTGTAAATATACTTATGTTAAAGGGGTAACACAGAAAAAAAAAAAATTCTACCATTACTTTTAAGTGTTTGCTTATTCGAAGTTTTAATATGCGGTATAATGAAATATTTGCAAACGAATTACTTTAGCCCGATACTTTTGTACCGGTTACTTAGCCCGATACTTTACCTATAATTTTGTACCGGTACTTAGCCCGGTTCAATTAAATACTTTTGTACTTGTTCACATTCTTGATCTCTAATATCAAAAATGAAGGCAAATTTGCCATATTGGAAAGCTCCCAAACACAAAAATACAAAGATCGCACCTAAAAAACTTGTTTATTTTGTGCTTTTTAGTTAGTTTATACTTGCTCAACCAAGTGACATCTTTCAAAGATACTATTATATTCAAAAAGTTTTATAGGTGTAAATTTAGGAAAAAAAACCATTTAAAAACATCAACGGTATAAAAAAAATATGCCATAAAAATGCAGTTTTTAAATATTGTTTTTGCTCACAATAGATTTTTTACCGTTTGCTTACAATAAATTTATTACCTTGTTTCGATTACTAGTTTGAAACTAGTTTGCTAAACAATTTTTTTTTACACAGGTTACTTTGAAATATTTATTTTTCCGAGTTAACTTAATTACCGAATTAATTTTCACAAATTACTGGATCAAATAATGTTGATTTTTTTTCAAAACTTTAATAGTAATAACATCAACTACTCGACACTATATAGAAAGTGTCATTCTAAGTGATGATTCCGTACTAACATTTTTTTGGTCTATTGCTTCGCAAAGTTTATTTATACTTAGTTAAAGTATGAAAAAGTTTTAGTTCAAAAAAACAACCCAGATCTATGCTGATAACTTTTAAACCAAATGGTTTACACAACTGCATACATCTTAAACAATTTTTTGCTACTTTGGCGCATAGCATACACTATATGTGGAAGGTCTAAAGATAAAAATGGCATAAATAAAAATTGTCTGGTGTCTTTCAAAATTTAGTATTGACTCCAAAAAAGTAAATTTTTATTAATTCAGCTAAGTTTTATGCTGTTAATAGGTTTAGTTATAAATAAACCTTGATAATGATTCTCGCAGAAACAAGGACACAAGAGACAAGAGTATATATATATATATATATATATATATATATATATATATATATATATATGTATATATATATTTACTATATATTGCGTAAGGAATCTTTGGGTTGTGTTACGCAAATATGTTACAAGTCTCAAGCATTTTACAGTGGCCAACTAAGCATCAAAAGTTAAATACTGATATACATTAATAATTTTATACATTACTAATATATATTATAAGCGACTAAGAGAGATAAGAGAGATACTTTTGTATCTCTATATTAGTATAGTAATATAAATTATTATACTAATATAGTTATTATAATATTATATAATATAACTATTATAATATTACTATTATATTACAATATATTATATATTATAGAGAGATATATTATAGAGAGAGAGAGATTTAGGTATGTATATATTACAGTAAAATACTTATGTAACATTACTTCAATTTAATTCCTATTAATGTCATTAGTATTATATTGTAATATATGCATATCTAAATCTCTCTCTACATATATATATATATATATATATATATATATATATATATATATATATATATATATATATATATATATATATATATATATATATATGTATATATATATATGTAGCCTACATATGTACATATATATATATATATATATATAATATATATATATATATATATATATATATATATATATATATATATATATATATCTACATATATATATATATATATATATATATATATATATATATATCTACATATATATATATATAATATATATATATATATATATATATATATATATATATATATATATATATATATATATATATATATATATATATATATATATATATATATATATATCAAAAAAATGTACTAATAAATACATAGGTTGGAGCATAGCAAACAACATAAAAATAATCAGGAAAGTATTTTAATCCAATAGGTATAACGTTTCACGACATTAGTTACTCGCTTATCCATATGTGACAGAAGTTATGGTATTTTAAACAGAAGTTATGGTATTTTAAACAGAAGTTTGGTATGTTAAACAGAAATTATGTTATTTTAAACAAAAATGATGGTATTTTATTATTTTACTAATTTTGAAGAATAGGTGTACTTAATATTTAAAAATCAAATTTTTTAATTTCAAAATGAATAGACTATATTCCTTTTTAAATGTTAATAATATTCTTTATCATAAACAGTTTGGATTTAAATCTGGTCATTCAACTGATTATGCAATCACTCACCTTGTTCATGATATATTTAAAGGGTTTGATGAAGACAAGTATACCCTAGGTGTATTTATCGATTTAAGTAAAGCTTTTGACACTGTCAATCATCAAATCCTTCTATCCAAACTGAAAAGTTATGGTATAATAAATACTAATTTGTCCTGGTTTGATAGTTACTTGACTAATAGAAAGCAGTTTATTTCATATGATAGCGGAAAAACGGAATATAAGTCAATCACCTGTGGTGTTCCTCAAGGATCAATTTTAGGACCACTTTTATTTCTCGTTTATATTAATGACTTATATAAGTTTTCTAACATTTTAAACTTAATTTTGTTTGCAGATGATACAAACTTGTTTTATTCTAGTAAAGATATCAGTAAATTATTTCAAACAGTAAACAAAGAACTTGAAAAATTAACCCAATGGTTCAAATCAAACAAACTATCTTTGAACATCAATAAATCCAAATACACTTTGTTCCATCGTCTTCATAAAAAACAAGATATTCCATTAAAACTTCCTGATCTTTTTATTGATAACGCATTATTAAAAAGAGAGCAATCAATAAAGTTTTTAGGTGTGGTTCTGTATGAAAATTTAACCTGGAGGGACCACATAGGTCTAATTGAAAATAAAATATCAAAAAATATAGGTGTTTTGTATAGAGCCAAGCAGTTTTTAAATCTATCTTGTTTAAAAAACTTATATTTTTCTTTAATTCATTGCTACTTAAATTATGCAAACGTTGCTTGGTGCAGCACAAACGCAACAAAAGTAAAAAAACTGTTTAGTAAACAAAAACAGGCTATAAGGATAATTACAAACGTAGACCGTTTCTCTCACACTAAAACATTATTTAATAAACTTAATATTCTAAATGTATATAAACTAAACCTTTACCATATTCTTATCTTCATGTTTAAACTTGATAAAAAAATGTCACCAATGTTATTTAATTCACTTTTTGAAAAAATAAACCACATATACCCTACCAGATTTTCAAAAAACAATTACATTCAATCCAAAACACATTATTCAGCAACCAAATTCTTAATTGCAAATCGAGGTCCTAAGCTGTGGAATACAATATTAAATAATGAGCTGAAATCTAATTATTCTTTAAACCAGTTTAAAACAAAACTTAAGCAATTACTGATGATACATGAAAATGAATTAAAGTTCTTCTAAAAAGCTTTTTAAACTAGCAAACAAAAACAAAAATTAACCTACTAATTACTCTTTAATATTATATTTAATATTCTAAACAATAGTCTGCTATTGTAAATGTATTTCTTATCTTATAAGTTTTGAATTTACAAACGATTTTTTAAGTTTTATTATTTGAAATACTAATTACTAAAAATATTGTAAAATTTTATAATTTCAATTTTTATTAAAAAAAGTTATTGTAAATTCTTTTTGTAATATTAATACTTATATATCATCTTATTTTACTAATCAGTTCTTAAATATAAATACTCTTTGAATTACTAAATATTTTAAACGTTATATATTTTATTTTTTACATTTTGTTAAAATATTTTATTTGATGAATATGCATTTTTTGGGGGGGCTTAATGATAAGATGAATTTTGTCTTCTTCAAGCCCCAGTCATGTAAATATTTGTTTTTATAAATTACGAGTGTAAATTATTTTCAATCGGCAAATACAATACTAAAAAAAAAAAAAAAAAAAAAAAAAAAAAAAAAATACAATTAACTTGCTGGCTCTTAATAATACTAGACTTGATCGTTTTATTCAATACTTTGCTCATTTTAAATTTCATTAGTATGTATAATTTCAAAGAGACATAAATATTATTGAAAAAAATAAATGCTTGTAAAAAATGAAATTTGATTTACAGAATAAACAGTTAAAAACATCAAAAAAAATCTATTACATAAGTTATCCAAAAGTGAAACTATGATAACTATTAAAAACTTTATTAAATATTTAGTTCAAACTAGAATAGTAAAAGTATTATTCTTAGTGATCTCTAATCATTTCAATTTTTTTTTTACAATTCTTATTTAACGTAAGTGTAAAGAAGTTTAAGTTTAAAGTGTGCACGAGTCAAAAGTTTTCATACCATGCTAAAAATAAATTTAACAAATCATTAATTTAATAAAGCGATTGACGCAGCTCGATCAGCATTAACTTGTAAATATGGTGAAGAACAACACGATAGTATAAACAAAGTCCTTATCTCGTCAATTAAAACTATAGTGCTTTACCAACTATGCGGCATTCAAAATTAAAGTCATCTCAAAAATTTAAATTGCAAATAGATAACGTTTTACAATCAAATTATAGCTTTAAATCACAGTTAATTGACTTTAAATTATAATAAAGTTTTGTATATTACAACAGTTGCATAATTGACTTTTATTTATTGATAAGAAAGTTGTTTTTGAGATAAATTTGTATGCAACGTATGAAAACCATAATACAAACAAGCAATCAAATAAAAAAGGTTAGTGAATAGTGCTTTAGTTCGAGGTTTGATGACAGCCCTAGTCATATAATCGGCATTGAGAAGAAGGGTGGCGTGAACTTCTGGTTAAATGCTGCTTTTCTATGCTTTGTGACAAGACTGTTAGGTCTTCTTGGAGCACTTTAACAATAACTAAAAAAAATCAATTAAAATTATACAAATGCTCAGCACTTGCATCAAGTATAAAAACATGTGTAAAACATTTTCCGTAAACAAATTCAACAATCGGAGTATATGATAAATAAATATCTATGTATGATATACCCCATGTATCATACATAAAAATTGTTGTATTATATAATCCAAATATTGCGCTTGTATAATGTATAATGCATTGGTATCCCTCCGTTAATTATCATTTTAAAAGGTTGTTTAAAAAGATTTACTTCTAACGAGGCTAATTAAAGCCTCAATTTCAAACAATGGAAATACATAGGTG